ACACACGCACACGCACACGCACACGCACACGCACGCACACGCACACGCACACGCACACGCACACGCACACGCACACGCACACGCAAACGCACCCACCCACCCACCCACCCACCCACCCACATATACACACACGCATACACGGGCACATAACCCTGCGGCTCTATAGCGGCGCAGATGTATGCGCGTGGAGACTGCCGGGCCTGCGGTGAGGGCTCTGCTGCGATCAGAGTCCCCGTGATGTGCATGGAATCGACATCGCTTCAGTCTCACCGACTCTCACGCGAGGTGCTTTGGCAGCGCCTCGTCGCTAGGTGCGACCACTTCAGCGCTCTTCTCCAGATGGGATCGTCCGCTCTGACTCTGTATGCCCTCAGCCGGATTCTATCTCCAATCTTGACGGCCTGATCCTGTCCGTGCTCGACACCGTTCCATTTCGACCTTTGATTACAGTCATTCGGCGAACGGTCACGATGACTGCCGTTTGCTCTTCTCTGTGTCTTCGGTTGGGCGCAGTGTTGTGGCTTGCGACAGCCTTCACGCTGCATTGTGTCTCTGCTGCACCTCCATCGAGCACGCGCGATGGAAGCCATGACATAGCGGTAGAGTCGAAGAGCGGTAGCCCTCGCGCTCAAGCGAGCCGGCGCACCAATGCGATCAACTTCCGCGAGAGGGAGCTGGAGAAACTCCTCGCCGCAGGGAAGGAACTGCCTGAGTCCGCTGCCGAGCTGTACTTGCGCGTCCTCGAGCCAAAACGGACAGCTGCGACCAACTTGCAAGGGCGACGGCGCAGTAAGTTGATGGAACCAGCGCAGCAAAGCACTGCTAATGCGATCAACTCCCGCGAGACTGCGCTTCAGCGGATCCTCCGCAAAGTGCGCAAAGGTGTTTCTGCCACTCCGTCAAGCACGCGTGGTGCAAGACGCGCAATGTCGTCGGAAGTTTCGAGGATTGGTAAGCGCCGCGCGCAAGGCGGCGGTCGGCACAGGAATGTACGCGGGCTCAACGAGAGTGAGGTAGAGGATATCCTCAAGCAAGCCAAGGACAAGCATGTGCCCAAGTCGGTCTTGAAGTTGCTCTTGCGAGTCCTCGAGAGGTCGGGCAGAGACTCTGTCGACATGCACGAACGGCGGTCTGAGTATCGTTTTTCAGCGCAGCGAAGCACTGCTGCGCTGAACTTCGCTGACAAGGCGATTCAGGAGACCGGCACCGAGGGTGGAGAGCCGCACGCTCGCGTCCTTGAGATGATTGGTGCTTACAACGGTCCGTTCCAGTTCGTAGACAGCGACGTGCTGACGTTTCGAGGCAATCTACTTCCCTCTTCCTCCCGGAGTGTATACCCCGAGGGGGACATCCTTGTCGTGCAACCGTACAGTGTGGACGAATCGATTTACTTCCTTTCGGAAGCGGGAGTCTGGACGTTGCCGACCACCTCAAGCTCGTACGGTGCTGCATCGGTCAGTCGTGCTGCTGGCCCTTTCTACGATGCGCAAGCTTTCACGATCGTGGACATGAGCAAGTACGGGCGCCAAGGGAGGTTCCTTCTAGTGGCCGAAGCCGATGATGACAGCCTGCGAACTGTCAGTTTGGACTCGTACGAACCACCTTTCGGTATCCGTTACATGACAGGCTTCGACTCTGAAATTCTTAGCCTTGCTGCGGATCCGTCACGGCCTTACGTTTACTTTTCAACGGACTATGGGATATTCAAGATGTATCTCCCCTCTTCCGGACTTGGCTCAGTAGTCCCTGTCATTGATGATGCGTCGGCCATTGGATCCGCGCAAGCCAGCATCCGCGGATCGGTTCAATCTAGCATCTACGGTGATGCGGGTTTCAATGAGTTTCGCGTGAGCCAGCATGCCTTCTCCGCTGACGGCCAGTTCATGTACGCTGCGGACCAAGTCGGAAACGCCATCTACCGCGTTTGGATTGCGAGCGGAGAGGTGGAGAATATCGGTAGTGGGTATGTTGACGTGGACGTGGACGGACCCTATGGATTAGCGTTGACATCGGACGGTTGTAATCTATTCGTGTCGGAGTGGACGACCGGGAGGATCACGCTAATCAGCTTCGAACGCAGCGGTGGCCTCGTGAGGAGCATCCGAACACTCGCAGGTAGGACCAGCGGTCGCTATACGGAATCGTCCATAGACCTTTTCGGTCTGGCGATCTCCCCAGGTGGCTCTTATCTATACGTCGGAGCGGACGAGGCGATCTACAAGTTCGAGATCGACACTTTGGGCTTGCCCTCCTGCTCTCCTATCTCGTCTACGCCTCGCCCCGTTCCTCCTACGATCAGACCCATCATTTCTACTAGCTCTCCCCCGCCCGTAATCTATGACACCTTCCCTACGGAGGATGATGAACCCACTTTTCCTTCTACGTCAACCACCACTCCTACCCGTAATTTTACTCCGCCGCTCCCTCCCAACCCTCCTTCCCCTATTTCTTTTAGCCTTCCCCCACCTACGCCGCGCCCTCCCGTCCCGCCTACCCCTACTCCTTCTAGCTATCCACAGCCCTCACTGTCAAATTCATCCTCTGCTGCTAACAGGACCTCCAGCCCCCGGGCCTCCAAGAAGCAAACCGATCTCACACCCGTTGTCATCAGTCTCGCCATCGCTTTGCCCGTCGTAGGGACCGTGTTCGGTGCATTGCTGGTCTGCTGTCTCTGCGCCTTACGGAGGCGGCGCCGAGAGGCAGAGTCACGAGCAATCGATAGGCCCGTGCCGCCCATCGCTACCATAGATGCCCGGGCACGGTCGCAACAGATCGAGCCGGTGGCTTTCACAAACAATCCGACAGGCGCGGAGAACTGGTGGCAAAGATCAGCCGGAGGAGGGTCGTTGGCCAATGATCGTCTTGACGTTGTTGTTAAGTAGAGTTCAATTTCCTTTCTCCTCAAAATCGGCCCAGGTGCAGAACGAGACAGCTCAAGCATGTTCCCATCGCGGATCATCGTGATGGAGACGGCTTGTCCAACGCCCAGTACTGCTTATTAGGTGATGTGGACAGGGGGGCAGGAGTGATGTCGTCCATCAATGAAGCGGATGTAAAGGCTTAGAACTCCGAAGTCTGCATTTTACACTGTGGAGTGAGGATCGTACGGTTTGTCGAAGTAGTTTCGAGGTGAGGTCGAGGTCTGCTTTGATTCACATGGCTTAGCACTGGACGGTACGAGTAGGATTACGCGTTTTTCTGACTTTCTAGGTGAGGGATCCGCTCGTTTCAGAGCAACACGTGAGGGTTCTCGACACTGAAAAGCGGCAAGAGGTAGTGATGTAAGGTATACGCCACCAATGTAGGTCATTCAACCGTCGTTAATGTCCACACGGTCGATCGATGTGTGTGTGTGTGTGTG